ATGCAACCATCCCATCAATATTTTTGTATGACGTTGTCACGTTCAACTATCGTCAGTAAACCGACTTTACAGACAACCGATTTTTTATATAGAACTGATGTTTAGTGATACCGCCGTCTATGGAGACTCGCATTGCATTTAAGAATGAGTATGCTTTGTAGAACACTAAGTCGATGGGATGCCCTTACGAATTGTGAGTATTATCAATTTCTTTATATTAAAATGATATATTTAGTATTTGTACCTTCTTATAGTAAAATCTCCTTTTGAAGGTTGGCTACTTTGGATGCCCCGCTTCGAAAATGATTTGCTACTTTGACCAAACTATTGCAAATACTATAACCAAGTGTCTACGTTAATATACAAGTTTTATATAGTTCTCTCAATATCCGTAGGGCTGATGTCTCAACCTTATAATAAAGATCGGAATCGCTATTGGATATTACACAGTAAAAGCTCTGGTCTCCTCGGAGATGTATAAAATTGTGTTTAATACGACCTTAATATATTAACTATGGAATATAAGTATGAAAGGGTACGTTACAAACGCTATTTTAAATAAAGAAATCACAATGATTTCTCATTAGCTTAGGATTATGCATTAGTTTACTTCACACATATATAGCATACCTTACTTTATACATAGCTTAGCTTACGAGAAATTGGTCTACAAACTCATTAAGTTAAACATGCTTGAAAGCCTTATATGCTTCTAACTTAACATCAACATACTATAAAAGTACGATATAGATAAGCAGTCGTAGGTTCGAACCCCGGCTGTGTACCAATGGACCTTCTATGTGCGCATCTAACTCGCTCGTAAACCCAGAATACCGGCATGTATTAAATCTAAAAATTGACGATGTGTCAGAAGCTTGATTTGTAGTCTATAAAATAAAAATGATCAATGGGATGCAAACGTATATATAAGTATATATATAGATACTATAAATGCAGGTGTAAAAAAATCTGAGGCATATTATATTATTTATTATTATTACTGCAAAAGTATGACTCACTTTCATCAATATCAATATAATATATTCGTTAATACTATTAGACGAAAAGCGAAATCGTAATAATCCAATAAAGTTGTCATAGTACAGGAAAAACAAAATTATGACGGCGTTATCCTTGAGATGCCGTCTTTAATCTAAGCCACCTTTAGTTGCTAGTAGTTTCTGGTTTATGTGCATAAATCACTGGATTGGACTATTATTTTCATACTTTGGGGAGTTTTCATTTGTAAAAATTATTTTATTTTATTTGACGTAAAATAGGCTTTGTCAAATAGGCCATCCAAGAATGGACAGGTTAAGTCAGTGGAACAATTATTTATATTGGAATAAAAATTATGAAACTAAATGTAAAATGCTTTTTGGAGATTCTATCTCACAGCTTATCCTTCTTAGGCAATTCGTTTAGGATCTACGCCATTAAGTTGTGGAATAGGCTGCCCGACTCCATACGATTGGCTACCTCTCTATCTTTTTTTAAAACTCTTCTACATAAACAGTTTCTTAACCATATCCTACCCTGCTCAATTGTAACTTTTGTAATTCTTGTATTTCTTATGATTTTGTATATCATTGTAATTCATGAATCTGTGAGATTAGCTTTGAAGTTTTTAATTTATTTTATTTTAAAAATATTTTGTTTGGTTGCTGTTTTTTTTTTTTTTAATATAAGTTTTGGTTATGCACTTCTTGCACTTTACCCATCATATTTCTTTTTTTTTTTTTTTCCTTACTAGGGTTGCCTGGAAGCGATCGCTTGTTAGAGAGCCGCCCGTTGCAACCCTTATAATTTTTATATTATATGTTTCAAAGTGTAAATAAAATAATAAATAAAAATAAATGAAATAATGAACAAAGAATTGCCATAAACGGCCTACCCTAGATATATGGTATACATGGCATTTAACAAGTTGCGGAGAATGCAGACCTTTAGTAATTCCAGAGACAACACAACAGAAATAAGGAGAAGATTGTATGAAAAATAAAATATAAATGAACAATTGTATTCTATGCAAAGACAAAATTAGTCTTATATATGCTGTCCTGTTCTAACGTCTGTTTATTCAATATATTTGTTTCAACTAAAACATTTAACGCGCAATTCGTAAATTATATGAACATTAGCTAACTCGACTTGAATACTTATAATTTTGTTGCTACCACATTTGACATATAAATAAACAATTTTAATATCTTACCACAATTTTAATAGGGATTTTAATGATTGACGCACTCATACACGTATATATATATATATATATATACTAGTGGACCCCACAGACGTTGTCCTGCATGATATTTAAAGCGATTAGGATATTAAGCAAAGTATGAAAGTACCGACTGCAGTGCCATCTGCCGGGCTGATTTGTGAATCTAAACCATTCCCAGATCCCCTTGAACACACACAAAAAATTTCATCAAAATCGGTCCAGTCGTTTAGGAGGAGTTCAGTCACATACACACGCACACAAGAAATATATATATTAAGATATATATATATATATATATATACATAGTTATTTCAATGTCCGTAGGGTAATGAAACGAGATCTAGATAATTAGCTTCCTAGTAAAAGTAATGATAAAGTAATATGGGTATGATGATATGATTGATAATATAATGTAATATATAAATACTATGTAAAATTTTACCTTTCTAATAAGACAAATATGCACGCCATTATGTGTGGCAGAATATGCGTTTAGAATGTACCACTATATTATATTTGTACCACATTTTAGCAAATAAATAATTGTTATAAAAAGATTGTATAAAACACGATATAAAAGATAGCTACGACGCGTATATTTTACAAATAATTTAAAAGTAAACAATACGACATATAATCTAATATTAAAAGAAAAAAAATTACTACCTAACCGTTATTCCTTTTTTGAAATTTTATATATTAATGTCACACAAAAAGATTTAACAAGTCTAGGATATTTAAAATATTACATCCATGTTGCTACATTCCCGAGTCTCATTTTGAAGCTGCGACAAACCATTCAGACACAAATAAAATTTCTTTGAAATCGCAAACAGAGCCGGTCCTCATTACGAAACTGCTGGTTCGTGGAAGGGAAATAAACGCAACGAGATTTTTATACATTATTAAAGCAATGGTAGCTAAATTATAGCAGCTTTAGCTACCATTGTATATAATATTCCACCTAATCTCGTATTTATATTCGAATTTCAAAAGCGCCTAAACACTTACTTTTAAATTAAGAATATTGAAATTTTAAAAAGGTTTCATAATTACACCACAGCTCATTTTTATTATTGTCAATTGTCACTTCCACGAAGTTTGTATTAAGAAAAATATGTTATTATTTGCTCGCAGGCGCGCCGATTCCATAGACAATAACATATTCCATTCTACTGATCTGTGGTAGCGCAAGTTTTGGAGCCATTTGTACATTATTTTTCTGTGATTTGTGAGAGTGTATGAATCTGTACTTGGCCTAAAGGTCTAGATACCAGGCTATAAGCTCTAAAAAAAATAAAAAAAATATGAATCTGTACATTCTTCGTTCTTAATACTCGTGTTATAATAATATTATTCCTCCGATATTACATGCAGTTACTTTAATACAATACAATTCTATACATATATTTTATTTGTAGGTAAGTAGACGGTTTTGAGTCTAGGACATGATGTTTTTCTTACGATGGTTTCTTTTACTGTACAAGCAAGAGTTCATTTGAATTAACGAGACGGCGCGCCGTTTCGATCAATGTATACGTATTTATTTAAATTAGTTGCAGATTTGTCTAACTAACAAAAAAATATATAAATCAGTGGGTCTACAACTTTTTGGGTCTGGGCCTCAGATTTCTGTATTTGTTTTATGATTATTTGTCAATCTAATAGGCAAGTAGGTGACACACGCCTTCGACTCTTTTTTGGGTCTAAGGCAAGCCGGTTCCCTCACGATGTTTTCGTTCGAGCGAATGGGAAATGCGCACATAGAAAGTTTTTTTTTTTTATAGAACGGGGGGCAAACGGGCAGGAGGCTCACCTGATGTTAAGTGATACCGCCGCCCATGGACACTCTCAATGCCAGAGGGCTCGCGAGTGCGTTGCCGGCCTTTTAAGAATTGGTACGCTCTTTTCTTGAAGGACCCTAAGTCGAATTGGTTCGGGAATACTTCAATGGGCAGCTGGTTCCACATAGTGGTGGTGCGCGGCAAAAACTGCCTTGAAAAACGCTCAGTTGTGGAACGGCGGACGTCGAGGTGATACGGGTGGAATTTCGTATTCTGCCTCGACGTCCGATGATGAAACTCAGCTGCAGGTATTAATCCGAACAACTCCTCTGAACACTCTCCATGGTAAATGCGGTAGAAGATGCAGAGTGACCCCACATCTCTACGCAACGCCAAAGGATCAAGCCACTCGGAGAGGGATTGGTCGTCGACGATTCGAACCGCTCTACGTTGTATACGGTCAAGTGGAAGGAGCTGGTACTGGGGAGCCCCCGCCCAGAGGTGAGAGCAGTACTCCATGTGGGGCCGAATTTGCGCTTTATATAGTTGCATGCGGTGGCCCGGAGTGAAGTACCGTCTCGCCTTGCTGAGCACACCAAGCTTTTTGGAGGCTAATTTAGCCTTTCCCTCCAAGTGACCGTGAAACTGAACGTCGCTCGATATGTCAACGCCAAGTATTCCAATGCTGGCTGTGGCTTTAAGAAGAGTGTTTTCGAAAAGAGGAGTAGCGACAAAGGGTGTTTTTTTAGCGGAAAACGCGCAAACTTGTGTCTTCTTGGGGTTAAATTGGACTAGGTTTTGTCTGCCCCAATCTGAGACTCCACGTAGTAGAGTTTCGACTTCAGACACAAGTTTGTTCCGGTACTCATCAACAACTGCCCGAGAAATACCTGCCTGGCCAGTGTAAAAAGTATCCCCAGTGCTGTCATCCGCATAGCAATGAATGTTGCTAAGTTTCAACATATCATTGATATGCAGAAGAAATAGGGTCAGGCAGAACACAGCCTTGTGGGACCCCAGCGTTTACGGGTTTTAGGTCGGAACATGCTCCGTCGATGACGACCTTGATGCTCCGATCGGCCAGAAAGCTGGAGATCCAATCGCGTAATTTCTCGGGAAGCCCATAGGCTGGAAGCTTCGAGAGCAGTGCTCTGTGCCACACCCGATCGAAGGCTTTCGCTATGTCCAAACTAACCGCTAGCGCCTCCCCCTTGGACTCAATTGCCTCTGCCCATCTATGTGTAAGGTATACAAGAAGGTCACCAGCCGAACGACCACGACGAAAGCCGTACTGATAATCGCTAATCAGCTGGTGGCCCTCTAGATACCTCAAGAGCTGGCAATTAACAATGGATTCCATTATTTTGGAGAACAAGGAGGTTATAGCTATTGGGTGATAGTTGGACGGATCAGAGCGATCGCCTTTTTTAGGGATCGGATGTATCAAAGCGGTCTTCTAGCACTTCGGGACAGTGCCGAGCGAGTACAGGTACCGGAAAAGGCGCGTTAAGACCGGAGCCAACTCAGGAGCATAAGTACGCACCACAATTGGGGGGATACCATCCGGCCCGCTCGACTTATGAATGTCCAAGGAAGATAGTGCTTTGCGGACAGCACGTTGCCGGAATGTAATTTCCGGCATCGAAGAATCACTTCGCGAAATGGTCGGTGGTGATCTCCCTCGGTCATCCAAAGTCGAGTTGGACGCGAAGAGACAGCCCAAAAGGTCAGCCTTCTCCTTCGCAGTGTGGGCCAGAGAGTCATCCTCCCTGTGCAGTGGCGGAATGGCGGGCTGACAAAAATTCCCTTGGACAGCTTTAGCGAGAGACCAGAAGGCTCGAGTCCCTGAAGGGAGTTGGGCCAATCTTTCGCCAAATCTGGCAATGTGCTCTGACTTTGCCTTAGTGATTTCCCGTTTGAAGGACCTGGAGGCTGAGTTATATGCTTTTTTAAGTTCGCTGGTATTGGCATCACGAGATTTCGCCGCTTCCTCCCATTAAAGCATTCTCGCTTTCGACGCGAGGCCGCCTTGCAAGAACGTTTAAACCAGGGCTGAGACTTGCCACCGATCGGCACCGCAGAAAATGGAATAAAGAGTTCCATGCCCTGCAGAACCACTTCGGCGACAGAGGCGGCGACGGAATCTGGAGCTTCCGGCGAAAAGCACATAGGCCCCAAAGGGTAGGACGCAAAGAAAGACCGCATCCCGTCCGAATCTGCTGACTTATAGTGCCAAATACGGCGACAATCCATAAAGCGGGGCCGTGAAGGGCGCGTAGAAGGCACAGTACTCCGGACCACACAATGATCCGATGAACCCAATGGCGGGTCAACAGAGACTTGATAGTTCTCCGGATGTGAAGTCAGCAGAAGGTCCAACAAAGAGGGTTTATGACCATCCACATCTGGTATTCGCGTAATCGCAGGGACCATTTGTGTCAGGTCGTAGGCTAAAGCAAAGTCGTGAAAGGATCTTCCCGCGTGATCCCTTTCGAGCAGGGAATCTGTAGGCATTTGGATGTGCTCAATGAGTCGGTCAGTTTCGGTATTTCCGCTATGGGACCTATACAGGCATGCGTAGAATCGCGGATGGTCATCGCAGTCTACGCGCAGCCAGAGGTTAGATAGGTCCCTTCCTTAAAGCGTCCCGAGGCGACGAGAACAGATATCCTCTCTGACGTACACGCAAACTCCAACCCGCGGCACAAATGAATGTTCTAATTTGTACCCCGGGTAGGATAGGTGGGAAGTATCAGCCGGGGAGGATATCTGAGTCTCGGTAAGAAAGAGCAAGGCCGGCTTCGCAGTCTCTAGATGATAATGGACAGCGTTGATATTAGAATTAAGCCCCCTAACATTTGTGAAGTCCACGGGGAGTGTGGACGGGGGTGCCTTTGTATAATTGCTCCGTTTGCCCCGAGGACGATTACTATTTTTGTAGAGCGCAGAATTGCCCCCCCCCAGAATACGAAGGGCAGCCTGTGCCTGTGCCACCGGGACACTCAGCACCCGGTGGTGGACGCCCAGAGGGGGATTCTCCACCGCGAGCGCGTGTGGTACCCCCTAGGGTAGATTCTGTTTTTTCTGCACCTTCATATTTCTTGTGGGGGGGGGATGGGCTCCGGGAATCTCTCTCACCGCACGAAACGCGAGTACAAGAAGGCGAACCTTTTGCATCACTTCACGCCGGTTTTCTGAGAGACAGTGGTACTGCCCCGGTCGTGCCTGCCCATTTGGCTGAAGCCCGAAGGCAACAGCATGGCACTCCCACTAGGAAGGGGTTGACTGATTGCGCTGATGAAATAACCTCTGTCACAGGTTATTTCACCAGTGGGCGATGGGATCGTCACGTCCCGACGCCAAAGAGAAAGTAAGTCCATTGGTCCAGCCGGGGATCTAACCTACGACCTGAGGTATGAGAGTCGCACGCTGAAGCAACTAGGCTACTGCTCTAGTGTACCAAATATAGTAGCTACCAAAAACGTTTTCTTTAAAACTGTAATTTATATTTTCCTTTGTGATTGTTTTACCAATAATTTTAATCGAAAGTTAATTACTTACAGAAGGCTCGCAAATGCGTTGCCAGCCTTTTAAGAATTGGTACGCTCTTTACACAACAGACTTATATTATCAATTAACCTTACCTAGTTTAGATATTTTTTCCTTGACGAAACAATGTTTTAAAAGCTGTACTGAGTACCGGGAGCAAAAAAATATATAGAAAAAATAATAAAAGCGTAAGCTTTTAATATGCACTCAATTTAACAAAGTGAGAATCTGTAATTAGGCAAAAGTCACTGCCTACTAAATGTAATGTGAAAAAATTTATGGAAGGCTGTAGATTTTTGATCATAAATAAATAACGAACCCGGCTTTCACTGCTTCTATTTGACCCGTCTTATCTTGTGATAAACGATCATATATCTTATGTTATGTAAAAACTCCATAGACTTCCACTCCAAGAGAGGGCGAAATCACTACATAATTACCAATAAAAGCATTTTCACAAATTTTCCACTCGAATATCCCAAATCCTTGTTACACGAAACTGTCAGCAACATTACCTTGCCGCAAAAATCTTTGGGTGCATTAACGAAATTACATTTCGTATTCGATTTAGTGTCACCATAAAACGTGTATAGTCAGGGATTAGGTTTATGCAAATCAGTCTAGATTGCAAGATGTATCCAATCTAGACAGATTAGTTATGCAATGAGACTTTGAGTAGATATATCTTGCTTAGCGCGTTTAAGTTTATAAAAAATACTAGCAAATCAGTTGCTTAATAAATCACCTTAAATTATTAAACCGTAATAATTATTATTCAATGTTAATTGAAACTACGATTATTCCTAAGGTAAGAGAAGTTATTATGATAGAATACTAATTGTGTAATGGATATATATTATATATCCTTTGTATCCATAGCCATCATACCTATTAATGATATATAATATACAGTATTTACAATATTCTTAACCTACATAGTATTATAATTAGTATTGATAATTATAAAAGTAAAACAAATTTAAAAAGTTTGGTTCCAGTGTACATTTAATGCTGGCAGCATTTCCTCGCTGTATTGGGATACTTATTCGTTGAGCGAGGAACCAGCTCTGGTCATCGGTACTATCTACCAGGCGCCAACTTTAATCTTTAATTAGCGCCTATACAGTTGAACCCCGCGGCCCAAGAGCCTCTACTCCTATAATTGTCTTTTGAAAAATTCGCCCGCACGACCTCACAGACACAGACATATACCGGTGTCTTTACATTTTTACTTTAGCATACTCTTAAATAATTCCGCATTTACCACGGAGAGTGTTCAGAGGAGTTGTTCGTGGTGGATGAAGTAGTGGATCACTACGTGAAACCAGCCCACTGAAGTATTTCCAAACCATTTCGACTTAGGGTCGGCAACGCACTTGCGATTCCTCTGGCAATGTGTCTATGGGCGGCGGTATCACTTTACATCACAGTTGAGCCTCCCGTTTGCCCAAGGTTATGTAAAAAATGTGAAATTACTTTAGCTTGTAATAAAGAAATATTTGCAAATTATATTTAATACAAAATGCAAATATGTTTGGCATTTAACAGAACAAATTGTTACACAAGACAGAGAGGATTTCATCTAATAATCCCACTGCAGCATTCGAATGAATTTATCCGGTTATCCGATTACCATCACTAGATACCAAATGGATAAATATGTATTGTATTTGACTACACATAAGGACATGTTTTTAAATTCCTTTCCAATTAACGCTAATAATAAATCCAATCTTATCTAAATCATTTCCTTAATTTCCAAATTTATATTATTTTTAATATACGATAAATCTCAAATTATCACTAGGTCTTAATATTTTATTGTAACTTTATAATTATAAAGCGGGAATTAAACAAAATTTCGCTCTAATTCGTTGCACAGATTATCAATTCAAAGAATACAGACTATACACGTGGAATAACTTTCGACGAATGTACGTACCTTGTCCTAATACAGCTCTAAGCCAGTGCTTTCAATTAATCTGTGTATGAAACTTAACCATCTATAACATTAATTAAGCATCGCACGTATTGACGTAAATTGGAATCTGTTTCACCAACAGTTTCTCTGTGAATTACTCTAAGCTGCAAAGGTATTAGAACTAAAGGTTTCATTAACCAGTACGCAACATTTTGATATATCTAAAATGGGTAATTGTATCTATGTATTTCAATGAAATGTTACTAAAGAAATATTGTTTATTTTATAGTCGTTGGTTAACGAGACAAGTAGTTAAATAAAACATTTTATTGGATTTTCTTACTCACTGAATACAATTATGCAAGAGCACTAGAAACGTCGAGTTAATATATGTAATAAAATTGTCTTTATTCGTTTACGACTTTAATGAGAAATGTATAAAATTTATTAATTCTCATTTATTTATTTGTTGAGCAGTGTTTCCCTAGTGGCTTGAGCGTGCGACACGCGACACTGAGATCATGCGTTCTAATCACGGCGATTCATATTTCTTTCGAAGTTCACATTTAAAACTATCGTATGTAAACCCGCATGCTTTAGATCGAAAAAGAAATAGCCTATTAAGAAAAATAAATGGTCATGTGACAGATACAGAAATCTCAGGGCCACACCTAAAAAGTTGTAGGCTTATTTATACATTTGTTACACAAATTTTCAATGTTTTCAAAATGATAAGGCAAAAAATCGGGCATACTTTTTCATCAGATGACTACGGAATTGGACTTATTTCGATATGGCAACTTCAAGTATACCGAGGCTGTGGAGTACTAAGGAGAGTGCCTTCATTGAGGAGGCATGACAAAAGGATCTTTCTTTGCTAAAAACTAACAAACTGAGTCTTAGTAGGGTAAACTTAACAAAGTTTCTACTACCCCACACAGAAACTTTCCCCAGTATCGTTTCAATTTTAAAAGCAAGTTTGCTACGGCTTTCGTCGACTTCAGATCGAGACGTTTCGGGTGGCCGAAATATAGTATGTCGTCTGCATAGCAATGGATGTTGTCGATGTTCAACAAGTCATTGATATGCAGAATGAATAGAGTGGGCGAGAGAACAGAACCTTGCAGAACGCCTGCATTGACAGGTCTAGAATTGGAGCACGTTTCGTCAGCTGAACTGTGCGGCGATAATGCAGCGTCCTGACAAAAAAATTAGCCAGGTATCGGCATAATCCATCAGGCAACGGTATGACGAAGTTTCGACAGAAGTGTCCCATGCACAAAGCAAAGCTTTTGACAAAGTGACGGAGAGTTTATTTCCAGTTCTTTTCGGAATTTAGAAACGCCCTTGATTTAAGAACTGGCAGTTAATGTAAATTTAGAACCATCGTTTTTTACTTACGTTCAAAAGTTAACTTACCTACATGACGAAATCTTAACTCTGAACCTTTCCCTTTGAAAGTATAAGATAACTTCCCTTTAAAGGTAATTGTTTTTCCCAATTGAACTCGGGATCTGTACAAGCTTACTCGTGAATTTCTTATTCAACTAAAGTTAGATAAAGTTTTAAAACAACAATTTGTGTACTGAAATAGATGTAATAAAACATACTTTGTACTGAATACGTGGCCAGGAAACATGATTTTTTTGACTTCGATCTAAGAAATTTTAAGTCCATAATAATTTATTAGGATCTTGTAATATAATTCGAATGATTAAATATTTATGTTAAATAACTTTAACGTTTCTAAACGGGATTTCATTACATTACTATTGAGTGTTTTACAACTGTCGAAGATTCGATTTTTTAATAAAGAGTAACCGTTTAATATTTCCATATTAAAATGACTTCATTAATGTTGTTGTATGATTTAACAATAGAATTAGTGTTCATAACAGATATTGAGGTAACTACATTGTAATTACACCTCGTCCGTCATTCACAACTTTGAGTTTTTTATGTCTGTTTTTGCCACGAACCACCACTATGTGGAATCAACTACCCACTGAAGTATACAATACATAGGTCCTAAAAAAAGTGCTTA